GAAACTCAAATGAATGACTTGATTGCTGGTTTGGAAGCCAAATACTGCAAGCCAAAAACTACAAAAAAGAAGAAAACTRCTGCCAAATCAAAGAAGTAGAATATATAGAGACACTGAAAGACAAGCATGACATTAAGGTAAAATATTAGTTTATATAATAGTTGGTTGGAGTTATGAAAATCACTGAACGGTAGTGGYATTTATTCTTCTATTAGCAAAACAAACTAAAATATTTTAATAGTCTGATTAGACAAAGACACTTAWATGTTTGTATTTTGTAGGTCAAAATGTTTTATGCACAATTTYCAAAACAATCAAATTCCAACAAAACAATTTCAATTTTTCTTTCCAAAGTTCTGCATTTTTCTGGTGTTGCTTATACTTGTATATAGTAATCAGGACTCTTGATGATAAAAAAACTACCAAAMAATTACATTTGTCAATTCTAGAAATAATTTCAGTGTAGCTATAACCCAGCATAAAAAAACTGCAAATGATATTACAAGTCCTGTTGTCAAATTAAAGTAAACCTCTGGTAATCACTTGGTTTTATTGATAAAAATATTTTTTTATTACTATTGATGATATGAGCTTTTCATAATACATGAATGTTTAGATTATACTGTTAAAAAGTTGAGGAAAGTAAGGAATAAATTGTTTCCATCAGTTATCTATAAGAGGTTAGTACTAACTATTATTACACTGCGTCATCTTTTTTTGTAGAAAAGTTTTCTGATAAAATAATAATTGTAAAAAATAACTCTGAAATATATATTCAATTAAATCAAAATATTCTCATCACTGAAACATTAGAAAATTTCCTTTTCAAATATATACTTAATTTTGTACTAATTTTGTATCATGTTGTGATAGAGTGCTTTCCTAAAACTTTGAAACAGAWGTTAAACTAATGCACCTTAGACGAAAAGTCGCTTTGTGTCTATTAGGCTATCAAACGAGTGTTAGATTTGGTTTTGCAATTTAAGTCATGGTTTTCACTCCAACTTTMGTTAAGTGCTATTAGAAGTGGTATATAGTACTGAATATTGTGGGCAGCTATGACGTTTCAACTAGGTGACTTGTTTCATGTTCTCTAAATAACTGTTTTARTAATCTTCTTTCCCAATGCCTCTTCTCTTCTTTATCCATGTAGTCAAGAAATGTTCGATTCCTTAATGCTTTTGGGAGTTGACTCTTTTCAATAGAATCTACTCGAATAACAATAAGAGAATTTTCATTTCTTTCTGCGACTCGATAAAGAGCAACGTCAAGTTCATCCTGGCACTTCTTGCTTGACATGTAGTTTTTCGATATCACTGCTATCACTGTCCGACTTTGATAAATGCTGTCAGTAATGTTCTCTATCAACGCTTTTCCTGGTTCAAAATCCCTGTGTGGTATGCAATACTTGACCAGGTATTTTTCTAGTAGAGGAATTAGTTTGCTTTATGACATCGACACGACATCGATTCAATAGAATCTACTCGAATAACAATAAGAGAATTTTCATTTCTTTCTGCGACTCGATAAAGAGCAACGTCAAGTTCATCCTGGCACTTCTTGCTTGACATGTAGTTTTTCGATATCACTGCTATCACTGTCCGACTTTGATAAATGCTGTCAGTAATGTTCTCTATCAACGCTTTTCCTGGTTCAAAATCCCTGTGTGGTATGCAATACTTGACCAGGTATTTTTCTAGTAGAGGAATTAGTTTGCTTTTAATCCAGTCATAGTCTTTAGTGCTGTACGTCAGAAAAGTCTCATACAAGTAGTTTCCATAACCTAACAAAGAAGAAAAACAAAGACATTTTTATCAAGAWACTTATCACGGTTTCTTTTGAGGTTTTCTGCAATTACTGTKAAGTGATTATTAAYAGCTGAACAAAACGATTATTTGCTTCAAAGTCCAAAGATAGATTTGGCAGAGTGTCTTATGCAAAAACATTTCAACATACATGTACCCCGATATGGTATGTACAAAGTATTTTTAAATTAAAAATTAAAATTAAAAATTAGTATTTTAAAATTAAATTAATTGTTAAATCACCTTTTGAATGACGACGAAGGCTTTTCTTTCTCTTCATATAACGCAATAATACACCAGTAGCAAGGCCAGCCAGTAAACAGATAGCGACAACCAACATGGAAACTTCCAAGGATGAAAAATGATCTTTCACTTGACGAGGGGAATCTAGATGTTTTGAATGCAATTGGATGTCACTTGGTAATGTTCATCAAAAGATTGTTTATGTTTTTATTGTGCTGTAGTGWTTACAATTATTTTTGTTGTGKTYACGGAGGTGGAAACGTTGGTTTCAAAGGATGGTATTTGCCACTCGTCTTYTGTTTTCGCACTTCTTTCTGTACTTCTAAKKAACRTTGGTATTGTTGAGTATCAAGCTCTTAAAAGCGTTGTTGTAAGCTAGTCTCTGTTCTGTATTTTGATGTTTTTAAACATTAAAATGTTCTGTATTCGTATGGTGTGGAAAATCTTAAATACACTTCCTTTCCTGATAATTCAGATTCCTCATTCACTCCCTMGCTATCTGATTTACTGAAATCAGTTATTCCACTCAGAGTCAGTCAGGGCGATAACATTGGGCTTTCCCCCCTCCAATAGAAAGATATATTATTAGTAATGAACAATATAATACAAATAATATTAATGATAGAACATAGTGTGACATACGTACCAATGGAGACATATCCAGACACTGACGTGTTCTTCACTGCAGACATTGTGGCACAAGTATAATTACCTGCGTCATYAGCCACTAGTTTTTTGATTGTAAGTCTACTTTCTACTTGTTGTGCGTTGCCCGTGATTAATTCATTGCTTGATATACTATATTTAGACTCGGAACCAAGAGTTAAGCCGTCCTTGATCCAAAACAGCTGCGCCCTGTCTTCCATGTCGTATCTTGAATAATGGCCCTTACAAACTAAAGTTACTCTTTCTCCTTCTGCTTTGAAAAACTGGTAGCGATTGAGTGTGACGGATGGCAAACCTGTATTAAGCAATTGAACCACAATGTTAGTCTTTGTGTTTAAGGGCCATTCCAGAACATTTCGACCTTTTGTGTTTTGTTTTGACACAGACCTACAATCACGCGAAATTATAACCCTCAGGTTAAATACAYTTAAAAGATCGATAAATGGAAATGAATTAACGAGAAAAGCGCGCAAAGGTTTTTGGGATGCATGCGGTCCTTTAATGTTAATCTATCAAACTCTTAAATGATCACACTACCTCTTGTGACCCTGCGTAGTGGCTCTAGTGGAGGGGGGAAAGTGGGAAAACTCCCTCCCCCTCCCCCCCCTCCCCTAGATCCGCTACGCAGACTTGTGACCTTGCTAGAATATAGATTTTCGCATTTGATCATAAATTACCTTATAGTACATTCAATAAAGTTATACTTTTTCAATGGTCGAGAGGAGTACCATTACAGTGTTAATTATACTTCTTATAAAATTTTGTTTCGCTGAATGTACTGTAAACAAAAAATCGCACAACCTCTTGTACAATATGGAATTAATAGTCGCTCGTAATCTATCGGGCTCGTGCAATTACGATGAACTTTCAAAACATTACTCTTGACTATTCCAAATTGTACTCAAGGTCGTGCGATTTCCTATACATATAGTCTGAATATTAATTCAAAGCTTAATGCCTGTACAAATCGTATGTGAATCATAGGCAATTAGTATAGCGGTAAAATCTGACCTGGTTGTGCAACAACAAGCGTATGTTTTAGTTGGTATTCTTCTTCAGTTGTTTTCCTTTTCACTTTGCAAAAGTAGAAACCAGCATCAGCTCTGGTTATATTCGCAATGGTCACATTTGATTTCATGATACCGCGTTTTTCTTTCAAGAAAATTGTTTTGTGGTTTGGCAGGTCTACTGGTCCATCGGTCGTGTTGTGATACCAATTCAGCCTATACATGCTTTTCAGGTAAACATTCTTTACCAAGCATTGTAAAGTTAAAGTTTGGTTGATTCTGGCAACATATATCTTGGATCGCATTTCAAAAACTGGTGCATGAAATACTAGGAATGAGATAGAACAGCATTAATCATAAGTCAACTATTATAAGTTGTAGGTTCGGATTCACTGTGCTAAATATCCACAGGAATCCCGACACTAACGTGTTCTTATTACTAAAAACAAGATCTTGGATCCCATTTCAAAAACTGGTTCATGATATACTAGGAATGAGATAGAACAGCATTAATCATAAGTCAACTATTATAAGTTGTAGGTTCGGATTCACTGTGCTAAATATCCACAGGAATCCCGACACTAACGTGTTCTTATTACTAAAAACAAGATCAGAGTTTAATTTTACCTTCAAATTTGACTAGAGTATCAATTCTGTCTTGGCCTTCTGAATTTTTGGCAACGCATGAATATGTTCCAGAAAGGGCAGCTGCACCCACTATAWCTAATMTCTTAGTMTCAACGSCMTCGCTATAGGTATGGAACCAATCACCTCTTTCATTGTCAATTATCCTATTCTTAAAAACCCAAATCAGTGCAGGCGTTGGGTAACCGGTGGCGCAGCAAGAAAGAGTMTGTYTCGTTGAAATAAACTTAACTGGACTGCGTGCAGTACAGATGGATGCCTTTGGAGGAGCTTAAAATGAAACAAAATATGAGAATAGATAGAATTAAAAGGATCTGTAGACAATTGATTTCGCTTACTTCGTCCTGTATAGTTTTTACCCTGATACCTTCAACAATACCATGATGCACTTCGCCCAAGCAAAGCCGATGACGACAATGGCGGAAATAACGCAATAAAAATTTCCAYATCTAGTAGAAAGATCGATATTCTTACCGTATACTTGAAGGTCACGTGAGCAGATAACRTTCTCCTTTATTCGGCATTCATATTTCCCAGAATCCTTTAATGTGACATTTATCAGGTTTAAGGTTGATGACGTCAAGTTCGTTATATAGTTATTATGGKATATTTTTTTGTGGTCTTTGARCCATATCAACTGATCAGCTKTCTTTCCCATGGTTGCTTGGCAAATTAAAGATATTGTGTTGCCTGATTTTACTTTATGAGGATTAAAAGTAGTTTTGAGTGTACATTTTTGACCAGAAGAACGATTAACTGAAAAGGAAAAAAAGAAAAACAGAGTTTATTTTGCTCAGCCAGAAAGAATTCATGACCAACCAGCAATAAAGCTGCGAGGTCGAAAGGACTCTACTGCAGTTTAAATCTCGGGCATTACTCTTTAAAATGAAGTTTTGAGGAACATCCAGTTTCCAAGGGCAACGGAGGGCTGTATGCACTGACAGTACCCCTCCACAGTGGGAACTATAGCGTCACGTGGGCGACTTTCAAACGAGAGCGGAGGAAAATGTGTTGTTGGATGATAAGAGTTTGTGCTCCATAATGAGTACTACGTAGTMGGSCGAAAGGACTATCAATCCGACCGATTACTCAAAAATTCAAACCATTTTTGTCTAAACATGTTAGATTTCACCATTAATCGAAGAGGTCATATTATTCAGTGTAGGCAATCTTTTTACTCTAAAACGCTGTTATACACATAATATTTGCTTTCCCKTGCTCCCTTGCGGTCTCGACTACAAAACTCAACTTCGTCTTCTTCACTMGGTTYATTGTTAGTACTACACGTCATTTCTTTAGGTTTTTGTTTATTYATTTAATTGCTTTGTTGGTTTCTTGGTTGGATTTTCTTTCTTTTTCACTTTGCGGCGCCTGCTCTTTGAGGAACGTAATAGCATTCAATAATGGGTTTAGCGAGGGAAGCGAGGGGAGCTGGTTTTCCTCTACCCCCACAAGCTATTTACAAATGACTTGTTTTGTYAAGACCTCATAACGTTTAACGCGGTGTATAAATGGTAATGTGTATCTTGTTGCTTGAAAATAATAGCCGCTTTTAAGTATATAAAACTGTGAATTGGAAGATTAGCCTTCTTACAAACGATCACTTGCTCTTAGATATATTAAGATGTTGCAAATGGCAAATGCATCATTTAAAAAAAAGAATTCRTGCTGTGAAACCACAGGGTKTCACATTCGCATTACGAAAAACCGTAAATGYAAAACGCATCATTAGTAAGCAAAATATATCAATAGCTAACCTACACTCACGATCCTCAAATTTTAACTCGATTTTTTTGCACACATTTCAATCTAGTATTGCYCAGGAAAAAGTCATGACAATTTTCAAATACAGCACTCGGTCTGAAAAGATTCGTATCTTAATATATTTCGTTAGGAAAGTGGCATTTATCTTTGATGATATGTAACGTGATAACAAACTATTTTTATCTATATATATGCACATGTAAGAAAACTCTCATTCTCGTGGTAAATGATTATATCTAACAGCAAATGTGTGATTATATATATATATATATATAAAAAAAGATCAATTGTGTTTATACCTTAATTGTTAACCATTCAGTAAGTTTTGTTTTTCATTTACTGTCTAATATATCTTCTTCTTGTCAAACAAACAGCAAAAATAAAGTTTTGTAGAATGATTTTTTGACATTTTAAAGCACCTTTACCTCTAAGATTAGTAAATAGATTTTAAGCTTACCTGTAGTGATAAAAAGGATAGCAATGCAGAATAGAAAGGGCATTTTCTTTATCTTGTACTTTTAATCCWCCATTCCTTGTTAAACATCCTTTCGATGAATTAGCTGTTTTCCATCCATATAATAAAATGATTCAGGGCGCCTTAATTCCTAATCGTAGGAGTACAACCACACTTCCGCCGATGTTTGGCCAAAGATGAAATCTAATCACCGAGGCGACAGGTCTTAAAATTCATATTTTTGAAARAAAAWTACTAYCTATTCGAACAGATYAAGATATGTTCATCCAAAGATTCAAATGTGCAAACCATGACGATTTTGAATCGGTAAAATRATGAATTTGGCGCGCATTTACCGTCACAGTTAACGTGAAAACGTCTACCTATTTGAATAATTGCCTATTCGTTTCAAAGATGGCAACCGAATATTGCACCTGTCTGAATGCTTCGAAAAGTACGTCGAAAAAACTTCAATTTCTGCACACARACTCTCAAATAAGCGAGATGTTGAATGTGTCAAAGAAAGCATGGCCATAATGAGTTTTATTATGCACTAATAAATCATTCATCACTCCGATCACGTGGTTTAGTATGCTGAGAACAAGATAAGAAGCCATCAACCGCATGACACAAAAATCAATTTGTTTGWCATTGTGAGGGTAGCTGAGTCTTAATATAGACCGATATCGCTCAAGTTTAAGCTGCATACTTGTAGCCTCATCGTTTTAAGTATTATCCATGGCAATATTATGAAGGAACAATGAATTTCAGATGGCTTTTGKCGTTTCTTGAGTAAAACCCACACAGGTTCACAAAATCTCTTTCCGTTTTTCTAGTCATAATCACATAAAGGATCTTACAAATAGACATTTCAGAGTAGAAATTATTTTGGCTTTATTTTTTAGTATTTCTGGTTTATTTGTTGTTGTTGTTGTCTAGATACGTAGTTTTATAAGAAAACGTTTACACCCAATAAAAGATCACATCTAAATACTGAAATTAAATTATTTATTCCTTTTGATTTAGATACTGGGATTCCTGTTTAATCCTGTAGAAATCGATAAAAGCTTCGTTATTCATGACATGACCAATGTGTTTTATTCTTTTCAAAATGCCATTTTAACTTTTCGTTTCCCAACCATTTAATTGAAAATATGTCATACACTTTCACAGTCAAATAATTAATTTTTGAATTCTTTTTATGATCTGACCAGTGACCATATTCAAGACAGGTGTGCCATTTGTCAAAAATACCTTATCGATTTTTTTTCTYCAATTTTAACATTATGAACCTAATAATGCCATGTTTTTCCATCATCATTTTAAGCATGTCAAGCTGTGATATYAAACTACACCAAATGAAAGGGAAGTCAGAACTGTCGTTTACTTTTGGTGCACTGCCACTTGCTTTAGKTTTTCTTATGCTGATCCTTAAAACATGTCAGAAATTGTACTCATTTGTGCCCCGTATTTTATGAGCAAACTACACTATTTAACTCTTGAGGCTTTTGAAATTGAAAAAAATTTTGGAATTAAAAAGATACCAAATGTCCTCTCGACAGTTTTCCGTTCCAACTWCTAGGAATGTTTGCTATTTTTGTTAGCTTACTTTGAGTATACTTGCACAATACTTCGCTCGACACGTTCCTTCCACGCTTTTTTTTTTGGAAAAATGCCTATGGAGAAATACTAAAAAAAGGTGAAAGAACTAGGAATGGATTTTTGTAGAAAAAGTGTTTCACTTCCTCGAAACAATAATTTTGTGTAAAAAAGACATTACGAAAAGTGCAATTTTCACTGTCGGAAATTAACATCAAAAGTGTTTTTTATCGATTTTGTGTCAAAATGAATAGCTGATCCATGTTGATTGGCATCAAAAGCAAGAGCACTTCTTAGGACTTACCTTGAAGCCTTGCAGTCAAGCTAAGCCGCTTCAGAATGAAACGATTTTCTCAAAGAGTAACGCGCTTTATTACTAGCGATTTTGGGCGCTGTGTCAAAGGGTTAATTGTTAACACTAAAAAAACAACGATTAAAAGACTACGAAAGCAACCTTTCCAAGGTCGAGCCGTAATTTAAACAAATAAGAAATGTGTAGGGACGCTCGAATAAAACATGTTTAAATGYATAGTCTCCGCCGTTGCTATGTCTGTTAAAACAATCTTGTGTATTCTATGCAAGTAGTTTTTGCCGTTTTTTAAGGAAACACAARACTAGACACTGGAAAAAATCGCGCGCTTTGAAGGTTGTAAATTTGATGTAAATATGATATAAGTGTCCACAATTCTGTAAATTTAATGGAAATCATTTACATCAAATTTACAGAATTTTGGACACTTACATCAAATTTACAACCTTTAAAGCACGCGATTTTTTCTAGTGAGATGTCATCATGCTTTGTTCTTGAAAATAACATCACTGCATATTTCCTGATAAAGGCATTGACTCATATAAGACAGATATTCGAAAATCTTGTGAACTAAAAACGCTGATCTCAGATATTTGCTTGCCCAGTGTGAKCCTTTCCAATTACTTGGTAGATAAGTCTTAGTGTTTTTAGCGATTTTGGTCCCGTCCAGATTACTGTATATTCGTTTCATATGTGAATTTTTCACCGAAAACTCCTAACGTGGATTCAACCCCTGAGCGTKATGTCCGTTGGTTAGGATGGGAAACAGCACAATAACGTTACAAATATGTTAAAAACACTAAGAAAACTCTTGACTGCCGTGTGAAACCGAGCGTTCGCTGATATAAAAAACGAATAAGAAATATTTTGTT